TATCTTCAATCCCATTACTGGTTTGCATAATGTTGGTTTGCATTATTTTGATTTCTGAACAAAGGAGTTATGGTATGTTCTCTTTCATTTTCATTTCATGAATGGTGATGTTTTATTCCAGAATGCAAGACAAGACTATAGCTCTTGTTGGGAATTCATTAGGCAGGCCTGATGCCATGGAAACAATAATGTGTATGTTGACAGGTGGCAAAGAGAGGCCGGATGTTTGATATGTTGATCCTTAATATATGACACCACTGGAACACAAAACCGGTGGGTCATGCAAGTTGATGGTGTGCCTAATATGAAATTCACAAATATTGCATAATGTAGATGCCAAAAATTTTACAATCTATAGTATTTTCAAGTGGCTAGACTTGCAGCTTCCAAGCCCAGTGGTCTATTATAGGGAAATATGGGCCATGCTTATGCATGTTATTGGATATATTTAAGCATAATACACTGGGCTCAATGTAGGCCCGCCCAAGCCCAACAGTCCAGCTTGAGCCAACCCTAGACCGAGCTAAGCCTGAGTGTGCTAAATTTAAGCTTAGGTTGGGCTTGAGTTTAGTATTTTGGGCTTTACCTCGGGCTCGATCCTTACTTGCAAATGATAGGGTTGGGCTTGGGTTTACCTTAAACCCAACCTAGCTCGCCTGACTTGCACCCCTAATCATAACTAGGTTGAATTTCAAAATCTAAGATGGATGCCCAAACTTACAAGAAATACAAGTCCAAATTAAAAGGGTATTGGCCAAGCACAATTCTACAAAACAAAGTTTAAATTCATAGGACTCAAGTGGGACTCACTAAAAATGTACCTAAGCCCCCTAAGTTATCTTGAAAGAAATCCGGATAAAAAGATAAGGTTGAGTAACCCTATTCAAGATGATTACTATAACCTTTAACTCTACATAATGGGAAAATCTTATCTCCTAATCACATGGGCCCCACAAGTTGAAAACGATTGGTTAAAACTTCAATAGATAATCTTTCACCAAAAGGTTGAGACCAACTAAGGCCTTAGACTGGATCTTAAAAAAAGTCAAAGGCTTTCTCATTGTAAAGAGACTAAATCTTAGAGATCTTATCCCATTTGTCTAAATATTAAAGATTTGATATTTGTCATCATTTTCTATCTTTGGATTTCTGGATAAGAAATTTGTGTTGATAAATTTCTAGAACACTTGGTGGGACTAGAGGTGGATTCGAGCCGAGCCGAGCCGAATATTTGGCTATTTGAGCTTGGCTCGCTGAAACTGTGTTAGGTTCGAGCTCATTTCGAGCTATAGACTTGAGCTCAAGCTTGGCTCAGTTCAAAGCTTGAAAGTTTGAGCTTGACTACAAGCCATATTTTTTCTAAAAAATAAAAATTATACATATAAAGAATATTTTTTATTTTACATACAAAAAATTAAGAATTACAAAAATGATTTATTATTATACATGTGAAAAATAAAAATATACATATAAAAACGTTTTTATTTTACATACAAAAAAATAAGAATTAAAAAAATTATTTACTATTATACATATAAAATAAAAATATTATTATATATAATAAAAATTATTTATTATATATATGTATATGTATATGTATATGTATATGTATATGTATATGTATATGTATATGTATATGTATATGTATATGTATATGTATATGTATGTATGTGTATAATAAAAAAATATTTATTTATTATACTAGGCTTGTGAGCCTCACTGGGCTCGAGATCGTCTTGATTAGCAAACGAGCCTATATATTAGGCTCGAAGCTCAGTTTAAACGGAGTTGAGCCGAGCTCGAATAGCTCATGAGAAGCTCGGCTCATGACCACCCCTAAGTAGGACCATCACTGCCTCTCATCTTTTCCTTTCATTCATCATCCTATTAAGCATTAACCAGTCATCTCAATTGCCCCAAAGAAAGACATCTACAAAACTATTAATAGCAAACCAACAACTATTAACCATCAAATGACTTATGGGGTTAACCTAAATCTTAAGACCCAACACTCTAGTTATACAACTAGAGCAAAGGCTAGAATGGTCCAGATTTTTTGCAAGGGAGAGCCATTCAGTAGAATTTGGTACAAAAATGAGGAAACACATTTCATGGTCCACTTCACCTAAATTTGGACAAAACCCAGTTTTTCCATGACCCTTTGAAGGAAACACCATTCCACCTTGACATAGGCCTTGCTCATGTCTACCTTTATAGTCATCCTCCCTTTCTTTGCTTTAGAGTGCCTCATATAATGTAATACTTCATGAGCAAGAAGAATGTTATCAGAGATTGCTATACCTGTGATGAATGCACTTTGATTCTCATAAATGAGTTTCTCTAGTTTGCTCTTTAGACTATTTGCTAAAAGTTTTGCTATTACCTTGTAAACAAAGTTGCATAGGCTAATGAGGTGGAACTGTGAGGCTAACTCTAGGTTCTTCACTTTGGGAATTAGGGTGATAAAGGTAGAATTCATATTGGTATCTAGTTCTCCTTCTCTAAAAAAATTCCCAATCTCTTTTACAATGTCATCCTTTATAAAGCTCTAGAACTTTTGAAAGAAAAGTTCGGGAGCCATTCGGACCCAAAGCTTTTCTAGGAACAATTTGAAGGAGGGCTTGGTGAATTTCTTCCTTAGATACCTCCCTCTTTAGATCTTCATTGTCCTCATCTGTTATTGCTGGATGCAAGTTTCTTAGGGCTACCTCCACATCCTCATCCATTGGATTTGAGGAAGTGAAAGTTTCCTCAAAGTGATTCATAAAGATCTTCTTGAAGTGATCCTCACCTTCCATCCATTCCCCATCTTTATTTTTTAGTTTCAACACCATGTTTTTAGCTCTCCTTATAATCACATTGTGAAGAAAATCTAGTATTTCGGTCCCCATAGGTCAGCCAATTGACTCTAGATTTTTGAACCCACATTATTTCCTCTCTCCTTATAAGCATATCTAACTTTCTCCCTACTTCTTGCGTAGATGTGATGCTGAAATAAAATCCTCGGTTCTTTTTTATCTCTAGCAAGGGCCTGCTTTGTTTCTTCAATTTGAATATGCACCTTGCAAAAATCATCTTTATTCCATTTACACATAACTCCTCATAGCTTTTTACATTTCCAGCTAGTAGGATTATTCCCATCTAGCCATTAATCCTTAAGGCTCAGTTTGGAAGGAGTACAAATGCAAATATGTACAATGTAAATACATACAAAATAATACAAAATATAAGGTTTTGCACTCTACATATTTGCATTTATACTCCTTCCAAACTTAGCCTAATGATCTCCTCACATTTACTATGAGTCAGCCACATTTCCTCGAATATGAAATGTCTATTTCACTTGTTTTTTATAGGACAAGTGTCCATGTAGATTGGAAAGTGGTCCGACCCATAAGAAACCTGAGAAAAGACTACAACCTCAGGGAAGAGCGCTCTCTAAATTCCATTACAGAGGCCTCTATCCAGTTTTACCTTAATGTTTTTTTATCCTTCTTTGTTATTTGACCAGGTGCATTTGGGACCATTTGAAGGAACCTCCTCCAGCTCCCACTATCTTAGTAAATCCTTGTTTCTTTTGATAACCTTCATTTTTGCTTTGGCACCCCACATTTATCATCTTGATGAAATATCATATTTAGATCCCCAATACAACACCAAGGCCCACTAACCCTCTCTTCTAAGGTACTCACTTTTTTTTATAGAAGAATTTCCTTTTTTTCCTTCCTTGCTTCACCATATTAAAACCCACATCTAATTTCCTATTATTTCTTGTCATATATAAGCAATAAATAAGTAAATAACACAAATAAATATCAAGATTTATAATTATTTGATAAGACATGTAAAAAACATATAAACTATTAATTATCCTTCACATAAAATTCAAAATATTATTAAATTCCAACAATAAAGTTTATGTGCTTTCCAACAATATGTGAGTCGGGGAGGGTCAGGTTTAGTCTAATACTGTATCCTACCCATACCCGTACGGGTTGTAGAATCCCAAAACCCATACCCACCCCAAAATCCATCATTTAAGCAAAAAGAACCTGCCCCATCAGGAGGATAGGGGTGGGTATAGGTAGGGTAGAAATTGCCATCCCTACCAAACATCATCTAAAGTAGACCTGACAATTGGGTTGGGTGGGTCGGGTTCGGGTTGGCTCAAGGTAATTCATGTTGATTTCGGGTCGGGTTGAATTTCAGGTTGGGTTGTCAAATGCTAGACCCTAACCCTAAATGTTCGGGTTAGGGTTGACCCATGGGTCAATTTGGGTCATCCCATAAAATAATTGAAATTTAAAAAAATAAAGAAAAAATACATGCAAAATGTCCAAATTAAAAGAATTAGCCTTAAATTTCCAAATATAAAATAAAAAACTTGAACATTTAACAATTTAAAGAGTAAACAATAAAAAGTAAAGACTAAATAGAGAAAATTAAAGAGTGGAAACTTCTAACAATATATAAATAATCCCAATTAGACTTGACAATCGAGTCAACGGATTGACCCTTAACCCAACCCAACCTAGTCCAGTTTTTTTCGAGTTAGGTCGGATCGGGTCATTTTCATATTTAGGTAGCTAAATATGAGACCCTAACCTTGTTTTTTCGAGTTGAATTGGGTCGTGTCCAAAACATTCAGCTTACTAATTTTCATAATCTAATTCGTTTTAGCTTGACCCATGTTCGGCCAGGTCCACCTAATGACATAACACTATTTACTTGGCAATGACATAACACTATTTCAAGGGAGGTTTTTATGATTGTCATAAACGTTAGGCGAGGTTTTTATATTTTACCCTAAAATTTAACACAGTGAGACTAGAAGTGCCACTTCAACTCACTGAAGCTGAATCCATCAGTGAAGCCAGTAACGAACAGTAGATTTATCTCAGCTCAAGCAAGCATTACGATTTGTTTTTTCTTCTCAAACAAGCATAATCAAAGGCACGTCTCTATAGTCAATAACAGACAAAAGAAAATTATAAAGATATAGTCTGGAAGGTTTTGTTCTATTTGATTTTTTTTTCTCAAGTTGCGATCTTCTATTGATGAAACTTGTTTCTTGTGAAAATGCAGATCGTTTCTGAAATTCTTAAATCTGAAAAAAGTATTCTGCTGCAGAACTAAATTATTTATTGGAGTTTTGTTTACAAAAGTGGAGGCCCATTCCTTCGAAGTTGAGTTGCTCTTCCGTTATTGCAGCTTGAATTCTCAATTTCTGAATTTCGAAGTTGCAGATCACAGAGTATTTGCATCCCGAAGACTAATGAATTTTATTTTGGTATGTTAACTTCTCTTCTAGTACTTCCAGCTCTGTACTTTCTGTTAACAAAATTTTATCTTCTATTATTCATTTCTTTCTAATTTTCGTAAAATTATTTTTTTCAATGTCCCATTACAGGTGTGATTATGTTTCCCTTTTCGTTTTTCATTGGTGGGTTGTGGGAGGGGGCTTGTTCTTTAGCTTTTAGTCTGAAATCTGTCTACTAACTTTCTGCTAAAAATGCTTCACTTTCAGGTATTATTTAGTTGGTGGTTACTGATTTAATTGTTAACCTGATCACTAGGTTTTATTTTTAGTTGCTGTTACTGTTGTTCTTGGTTTTCTACTGAAGTTGCTTAACTTGGTGACATGTTAATAGATGGTGTTACTAACTCGCTCTCGTTTTCTGCATTCATCAAATCAGTACTTGAGATCTGTAGTTTGAATTTGTTTGGTTAATCGTGAGTTTGAATCAAGTAAAATATCACGTATTTTTTTTAATCTTTAACACAAATACTTTCATGCATTTTCCTTGTGGCTGATCTAGGGCTTCTGTTGAATTTCAGGGACCAACGAGATAGTAAATTCCTCAGCTCACAACTGATTGAGTGGTTCCCTTGCTTACTTCGGTGGTTAATGCTTTAGGATATGGCTTATGCACTTCAATATAAAAAATTATGTCAGGTTGAAACCAGGAGACGGATTTTGGTGATTGGTATAATAGGTGCAGCAACTTTAGTATTTCAGTTTCTATCTCTTTCCCATGGGAATTTTTTATTGTCTATGCTACCAGCTATTAGAGGTCCACTACTTGGAAAAAGAAGCTTTCCAATTGAAGATTCATCCCCTACGCACATGATGATTGGTAATTTAACCCTTTCAAATGATGTGAACTTCATGGAATCATCTTTGGTTCTTGGGATGGTGAAAGCTTCAGTTATGGAGAAGCAAAAGGAGGACAGCAATGAAACAAAAGATATGGATAGAGACCAAAAAAACGATTATTCATCAGAGGAGGCCATTGACATGGAATACAATCTGGAATTTGATGAGGATCAAGATTCATATAATGAAACTTCATTTGGAAAAGCTGTTGATCCGGTTACAAATTTCAAATTGGGTAGTGTAAATAATCCAGGAAGTGATTCTATACTAGAAAAGGCCAGAGAAACTGAACATGTTCTTGCAATAGAGGAAAGTAAGCAAAAGGTTAATGATTTATCATCCAACAGCACATTGAGACCAGGCATCAGTTTGGTAGTGGAAAAGCATCAAACTCTGGACACTGGTATGAAACCTCCACCGCCTAAGCTAGCACCAGAAACTTCTCTGAATGAGACAGACTTGCTCAGAAAATTGGATAAAAATTCAAGAGTTTCTATCATGTCATCCCCCTCAAATTTAGTTTTGGTGAGTAATCAAGTGACAGAAACACTACCCAAGGACAATAAACCTGAGATACTGCAAAGTGGTTCCATTGCTTTAAGCAAAAACTCCACAACCATTAACATCATAATCAAGAAGAATGGGGGGACACCAACAATATCAATATCCCAAATGAATAGTTTATTATTTCAGAATCGAGTTTCTTTCAACTCAAAGGTATATATTTGGATCTTCAGATGCTAAAGGGATTTAGTTTAATTATTTTGAACTGAAAGTTGCTTTAACCTTCTAGCTTGATTTTCTTTCTGTTCTTTACTAGAGGGCAGAACGGCTCCCAGTCCGTGATAGGGAACTTATATATGCAAAATTACAGATTGAGAATGCTCCTATTGTAAGGAATGATCCAGAACTTCATGTTTCTGTTTTTCGCAATCTCTCTACATTTAAAAGGTAATCTCCACATCTGAATGATGGTGCAGGTGTACAAGAATTTTCAAACACAATTGATCATTGTAGATATTAAGACTTTAAGATTAGTAATTCTTCTTTAATATTCTTGTATGTAGGAGTTATCAGTTGATGGAACGCATGCTCAAAGTCTATATCTACAGAGAAGGAGAAAAACCAATTTTCCATCAGCCAAATCTGAAGGGAATATATGCCTCTGAAGGATGGTTTATGAAATTAATGGAAGGAAACAAACAGTTTGTTGTGAAGGACCCAAGAAAAGCTCACTTGTTTTACTTACCTTTTAGTTCGCAAATAGTAAGGACAATTTTGTATACACGTGAGAATTTCCATGGTGGGAGGAACCTAGCTCTGTATTTGAAGAAATATGTGGACACGGTGGCAGCTAAATACCATTTTTGGAATAGAACTGATGGAGCAGATCATTTTCTTGTTGCTTGCCATGATTGGGTATGCTTCCATGCCTCTTTCAGATTTAAATTCTATCAGTTTTAATCACTGGATGACTAATATATGTGATTTCTTTTATATTAGTATAATCAAGAGGAAATAGAAAATCAATTAAAGCATGACATTAATTTTCCTTTGTGATGTAACTGGAGTTTCTCAGGCCCCTAGAATAACAAGGCATCATATGAGTAAATGCATCAGAGCTCTTTGCAATACTAATATTGCTAGAGGCTTTCAAATAGGCAAGGATGTGAGCCTTCCAGTAACATCTGTGCGTAGCATGAAGAATCCTCTAAGATACCTTGGAGGCAAACCCCCTTCAGAGAGGCCTACTTTGGCATTCTTTGCTGGAAGCATGCATGGATATCTCCGTCCAATCTTGCTACAGTACTGGGAAAACAAAGACCCAGAGATGAAAATATTTGGTCCAATGCCTCGGGATATTGAAGGCAAAATGAATTACATTGAGCACATGAGGAGTAGCAAGTATTGCATCTGTGCTAGGGGCTATGAAGTCCACACTCCTCGGGTCGTGGAGGCAATCTTCTATGAGTGTGTGCCAGTGATAATATCTGATAACTATGTGCCACCATTCTTTGAGGTCTTAGACTGGGAAGCATTTGCTGTCTTCATTGCAGAGAAAGATATTCCAAATTTGAAGAATATTCTCCTTTCAATTCCAGAGGAAGTCTACCTTGCAATGCAGCTGAGAGTGAAGAAGGTGCAACAGCATTTTCTGTGGCACAGTAAGCCTGTGAAGTATGACATATTTCATATGACCCTTCATTCAATTTGGAGCAATAGGATTTACCAGATATAGCACAGATAAGGATGTGGCAAAGATTTTAGATTCTTGAATCTGAGAACATAGGAGAATGAGCACATCTGAAAGACTGATTTGCCACCCAGAGCAGAAGGTGACACAACAAAGGGAGAATGGAAACACAAATAACTACAGTATGTGAGCATAGAGGTGGACAAGTGAAAGAGTTAAATGTTTTGCTGAATCTGTCTCTTTCTGTCTAGATCTTCTCCCATGTCAGTACAATAAAGAGAAGGTTATGGTTGAAAGTAAACATGTTATAAAACGAAGAGAAGTATCATGGTAGTTGCTGAGCCTTTCAGTAAATGCCTTGCCAATAGACCATTGTATAACTGAGTTCATTGTTCATAAAAGGGACTCAAGCCTTTACATAGCACTTTTTTTTTTTCTATCACTTTGTTTCATCAGTGGAGATACAGCGGCGAAGTATAATTTAATGGAGTAGATCATATGGACTAATAGTGGTCACTGCAGCAGTTTGGATGGTCAAAAAACTTTCTATTGATATGGATTTCCATTTGTTCAGAATGCTCTATATTCATGAATGCTGTCATCTGATAATAACTACGGACTTTTTTTTTCCATCTACACCTGAAACTGAAGATGTTATCGATACTTACAATGCTGCTATCATTTAAATTTATAACCACACATTATGAGAAAGTCTTCTCATCTATCTTGTAGTTCTAGAAACCCTATGTTGAAAAGGTTGGGTCACAAAAATTTGGAGGAGAAGCGCTTTGAGGCATGTCTGAAGACACTGTCTTTAGAACGTTTTTTGCCCCCACTCAGTTTTACTAAGTTTACTGTTGGGTTACAGGCAAATCCGTTCTCAAGATACAACAGAGCCTTCTGCGAGAATCTACAACCAACAAAGTTGAAGTGTTTTCAAAGAAACCTTCTTTGAGACAATAGCAAACTGATCTGAGAGAGACGAGAGTGTTTTTCAAAAAACTTGTGTTCAAATGCTTGATTCATACTCCTTAAATAAATCCTCAAGAGTCATGGAACAAAGAAAGGTGTTGGTTCAGAAAATGCTCATTGAACAGACAATTTCAAATGTAATTGTTAAAAGGTAGTTAACAGTTAATGACCATTACGCCGTTCTTGATCACACCCTGTCGAATTGTGACCGTTGATATTGCACCGAAGGTCAAAGCCGTTCTTTGCGGGACACACGGGTGCATGCAAAGTGCACCTCATTACGCCGCACACGCACACGTTGTGCAGTAGCAAACCTCCATACTCTCTTTATTTTTGAGTGTAGATAAGCTAAACACTCAAAACAAGTTTTATAACTTTCCAATGTGGGACAAGTTGAAAACTAGTTTTAATAAAATAAAAACTATTTTTCAAGACATGTATGCAATTTTTTTTCCTCATGTAATTGATCAGTCAAACCCCATTGGATTTAATCTCTAATGAGATTAAAATCCAACACCCTAAACTTGGTAATTTAACATTACTTACAACGCAACCTGATTAGTTTGGCACAAAGTTCCCCATTCAGCTGGGTGGTTTTTGGCATCCACCCCGACGCATCATGTCTCAAGTTGATAGAAGGGTATGACTTTGTTTGCTGAGTCCACTACTGTTGTGTTGGCTTCGTGGAAAAATAGATATGAAATAAAAAGTTGTGTAAGAGTCATCAAGGAACTTCACGAAATGCCTTAGGCTCAGTTTGGAAAGAGTACAAATGCAAATATGTAGAGTGCAAAACCTTATATTTTATATTGTTTTGTATGTATTTGCACAGTACATATTTGCATTTATACTCTTTCCAAACTCAACCTTAAGGATTATTTTGTCAGCTTTCCTTTAATAATTTTTTGTTAAATCAGACACAGCTAAGTGTTTCATGGGATGTGAATATGTGATCTCACCCTGAGTCATAGTGCCTTGGTGCTCTAGTTGGTAGTGTATTCTGGTTCATCTAGTCTGATATTGGGTGATCACTTATCAAAAGGACAAAAAAAAAAAGGAATATATTGCTTCAGGCGAACTATCCTCATAAATTTGCTATAGTACAAATACAAATATAAATACAAATAAAACAGTGAAAATTATATATGCTACCCTACCTCACAAATTTTTATTTATTTGATTTTGCAAAAATCTCACTTATCACCCACCTATCCCTTTGAATTATGTTAAATTCCCCTACCTGTCACTACTACAAACAGTGATAAATTTGGGGAGTGGGGGAATCAATAATTTGTCCAATAAAATAAATGGATGTAGAACCTCTAATACAATCACCACTAAACATGGTTATAAAAAATTAGCATATCAAGGTTTAGTTATTAACATATAAAACAATTAAAATAATCAAAATCTTGTTATTTAGCGTGACCTTGAAAACTGATGCATACACTAAACCTTGCCACTAGGGCTTAGTTTGGAAGAAGTATAAATACAGATATATATAATACAAATATATACAAAATAATATATAAAATACAAGGTTTTGCACTCTATATATTTGTATTTGTACATCTTCCAAAGCCTAAAAAGTAAATAACTACCAAACAAACTATTTGAAGGGTTGAGATCGCTCACCTGCCAAAAGAAAAAGTTAGATAAGGTTATTATTTGAGGGTGCAATTTGGGCCTGATGGTTTGACAAGCACTAACAACAAAGGTAAATTATAATAGCCTCCCCTGGAATCAAGCTCGAATCGATCAGTGTGTCAATTAGGGGGCATTCTTTTTTTGGATTTTGATAGGGGGAAAGTTGGTCGATGGGATTTTGGTTTCCATTGATTAAGTATTTCGTATTTTTTTTTTCAGTTTTATGTGAGGACCAGGGAAAGTTTATTTTCACGTGATACCCATCCCTAGGTGGATAAATAACTTTTCCACCTAGGGGAAAGTTTCCAACACTTGAATGAGACAAAAATGCCCCTTTTAAAAATAGATTTTTATGGTTAAAATGGTCATTGCCTTATTTACATGAGAAATAAAAGAACATGAATAAATGCACTTACGAGGGTAAGTGTTTACTTGGAAAAACTTACCCAGGTAACTGCATTTACTTAGGTAAATAACTTACCAAAAAGCAAACGGGGCCTTAATTACTTTTTTGTGTATTTATCTGAGTTGTAATGTTTGCTAGTTCCTGTCCCTCGGGTTTCTACTTTTCGATTCAATCTTTTCAAAGAATTCCATATTTTCTTTTTGTTGGCTGCAATTACTGGATTCATTTCATTGTCTCAGACTTCAAATCTTTTCTCATGGATGATCGAGCTTTTCATGAGGTAATTGAGCTCAGCTGATGAAAAAGCTTGATTCAGATAAGTTTTATTTTTTATATGCATAATATTTTATTTTTTATATGTATAATTTTTTATTTTCTATAGGAAGTTTGGCTCACAATTAAACTCAATCTGACCCGAGCTTAAACGTAAATCTTGTTCAAGTCTCTAACTCAAATCGAGCTTAAACGTAATGTCTTCAAAAAAAGTTTAATTATTTGTGATGGACTGATGGAGGTTTGGATAGGGACTCGGTTGCGACCTTTTGTGCTTATTCTCATAATTTGCAATTTTTGATGGCTGCAGCGGGAATTTAGGTCGAAGGTCTCTAGCTTTTGATGCTGAGGAATTCAGTGACTATCGTTTCTGAGCAAGACTTCGATTGAAGCGTGCAATGGAAATCTTGCTGCAGTTTCTTGGTTCTTTTGGTAGATAAAATTCTAAGGTTTTAAAAATCAGATACGATACGGAACCATTCTGGGGACTGGTTCTCGGGTCAAATGGTCTAAATCGTTTGATTCAAATGGACGGTTCATTCTGATGTAAAAAAAAAAATAAAAAGTTTAAAAAATATTGATGGTTCAACTATCTGGGTCAGCGGGTCATTAACTAATTAAATCAATGGGTTTAGCCAAAAAGCGGTTTTAAGGTGAAACGGAACCGGTACCTGATCGGTTATTCTCAGGTCAAGGTCAACTAGTCTGACTATTCGATCCGGTCCGGTTTTCAAAACCATGTAGAATTCTGAGTCTATCTTCTCGTTTTCTTTCTATAAATTTTGTGTATAGAAGTAGCGACTTAATCGGAAATGCTCATAGGGTGGTCAAGGAGGACAAAAAGTTTAAAGTTGTTTAATGTATGCCCGGTGGTTGTTTCTAGACCGAATCAGCCCCCCACAACATCCCACAGCACATCCCCATCGTGTATTGGGATCATCTCCCGATGATGACATCATCATTCTTGGTATTATCATCAGGAGATGTTCCCAATACACACGACGGGATGTGCTGTGGGAAGTTGTGAGGGGCTGATTTGAATTCGGTTGCTTCTACCCTCTTGGCTTGCTCCTTTTGAGACCAAATCAGCCCCCCACAAGATTGCCCTCCACAACATCCCACAACACATCCCCGCCATGTATTGGGAACACCTCTCGATGATGACATCATCATTTATGGTATTATCATTGGGAGATGTTCCTAATACATGGCGGGGATGTACTCTGGGATGTTGTGGGGGGCTGATTTGAACCCGCTCCTTTTGTAGTTTTGGACTCTTGCTTCTAATATATTTTTTTTTGGTAAAATACTTAAACCTCTCCTGAATTTTTTCATAAATACTGAAACATCCTCTCTTTTTTCAAATTGGACTAAGACCTCCCATATTAAGTGATATTATGGGACAAAAACATTCAAAATCTGTTAAAATGTGATGGCATATGTCGTTTCATTTTTTGGAAAAACCCAATTTTGCCCTTTACGATCCCTTTTAGCTAGGGGTGGCCACAAGCCGAGTTCTTCACAAGTTACTCGAGCTCGGCTCAGCTCGGTTTCAACTGAGCTTTGAGCCGAGCTCGAGTCTAATAGAGCTCGGCTCATGAGGCTCGTGAGCCAAGCTTATATATATATACACACACACACAATAAAATTATAAAAAGTAATATAATAAAAATATTATAATTCTTAATTTTTAAATATCAAATAAAAAATATTTTTTATATATAATTTTTTATTTTTATAAAATATTTATTCTCAAATCGAACTTGAACTTACGAGTTTTTGACTCGAACCGAACTCGAGCTCAAACTTTGTACTACCTTGGCGAGCTGAGCTTGAACCTCGTACTATTCAACTCGGCTTGGCTCGAATCCATCCCTACTTTTAGCAATTCAATTCAGACCATGCTCCCTGTTCTCATTTTCTATGATGCTTTTAACTCCACAACAAACACAAGTTTTAGGTGCTTGTTAGGATAATAATGGAGGAACCAATTTCGGTCGGGTGCTTAAAGTTGTTAGGAATTTAGGATTTGGGTTCGATTTGACAAATGGTTTTAAGTTAAAAGTGTGCAAAGGGGCATCCAATGGAAAGTTGGTTGTATTAGGTGAGAAGAATAGGCAGGAATTGATGTTTTTTTGGAGGTCTCAATGATATTGGGTGTGATAAGAGGGACTACGATGTGCTTAAGTTCATTGAGATGGTGGGTTTTAATCAGTTCAGATTTTTCGTTTTGATTTGAATAATTATTTATGTTAGTTGAGCAAGGATTAAACAATAGAAAAAAAAGGTCCCCTAACATTGCAGAGATGTGTATATTAATTCCTATATAAATAAACCAAATCCCTTCTACCTTTCTAATTTAAATATCTGTTTAATTCATCTATTTGATCAACACTAAGCAACGCCCCCAGAAATCTTGTTCCATTTTCAAACCTCCCCAAGAAAAACTCCATACTTCATTTTATTCAAGCTCTTTGAAATATTAGTTGGAAAAGTTCTTGGGTGGGTCAAGACAAGACAACCAATATATATTCCCCTGTTTTGAAAATATGAAATAGTAAGGATATAAAAAGCTTTTTAATGATACCGTTAGATAGAACTCTCACCGGGGAAGTCTTAGTCCAATTTTTTTTTTTTTTTCAAAAAAAAGAGGGATGTTTCAGTATTTACAAGAAAATCCAGTGGAGGTTTAAGTCTTTTACCCTTTCTTTTTCTTTTTCAATTATAAGAAGGACAAATTGTTAAAACCTCCTCTGAAATTTCTGAGCATTGATGAAACCTTTCATGAAGTTTGGTAATTGGAATCACCTCTTATGAACTTTCTAACTCAATTGCAAGTAGACTCCCCTCTATTAGAATCCTCTACAAAGGACCTGAAAATGTCTAAAATACCTATACAATTATATTTGATCAAAATGTTTATTTTCCAAATTTTTTCTTTACATCAAACGCTATTCCAAACCCTTTTAATTTCTTTTCCAAAATTGATTTATTTTTAAAATTTGCCCTTCATATCAATTGCTTAAAGGATAAAGGTACAACTTTAAACTCTTATTTTTTGTTGTTCATAAAGTTTGTATTGTTTTATCTTTAAAAATCAAATTCAATAATAATTATATGGGTATTTTGGACATTTTTGTGCCTTTTGTTAGAGGATTCCAATACACACACACACAGAGTCTACTTGCAAGTTGCAATTATGTCAGAAAGTTAGGAAATGTTTCAGCAATTTACCCTAAAAAAGCCTCCCTTATAATTTGGAAAGAAAGCTCCACTACCAACCAGGCAACCAGAGCACCAAGGCACTATTAACTTTGTGTTCCTGTTATGGAAACTTTTAGACCCTGCTCACTTTTCGGTAAGTTACTTACCTGGGTAAATGCAGTTACCTGGGTAAGTTTTTCTTGGGAAACACATACCCGGATAAGTGCATTTACCCATGTTCTTTTATTTCTCATGTAAATAAGGCAATGAGCATTTTAGTCATAAAAATCCATAATTAAAAAGGGAACTTTTGTCCCATTCAAGTATTGGCAACTTTTCTCCTAGGTGGAAAAGTTATTTACCGGATAAGTGATACCCAGGAAAATAAACTTTCCCTGGTTCCCACATAAATCTGAAAAAAAAAACATGAGATTCTTGGTCAATGGGAACCAAAATTCCATTGACCAAGTTCCCCCTCTCAAAATCCGAAAAAAGAACGCCCCCTTTGTACACATGGAGAGGGGAGAAGGCGATGCAAGAAATCCTGATAACGGGAGTGAGTAGCCGAGTGATGAGAATCCAACCTTCTTGGCTGTTCCTTTTGCATTCGGATTTTGAAGAGAAGATTTTGGTGATCATGGCTAGTGATGAGAATCCAACCTTCTTGGCAACACCCATTTCAAGTAGGGCCACTGACAAGCCAGAGATTGATATTCCAAACCATACAAACTGTAACCTCATATCATTGAATTCCAAGTTTTCAAGAATGCCTTTTCAATGATTTTAAAAACCCTCAAGGCACTTACTGTACTCTCTAGTCTCTGTGCTTCCGCACTTGGCATACTTGTTTAAAAACCCCTATTGCACTCTCCTCCCAAGCTTAACTTCAAGGACCCAAGCTAGGAAAATCCTGATTACAGTGGCCATTGGTGATTAAATCTGGACTGTATATACAAACCTATTCATCTGGAAGAACAGTTCCATGGTATCATTTAACGAGTCTAGCTTCGGTCAGTGCAACACCCGTTCGAATAGTCTTTACAGCCTTGCCTTAAGAATATCTCCGTGCTTATGTATTTTATTTCATGGGAAAATATTCCCAATGCAAGATTGCAAGAGACTGTTCAAACGGTGTGAGCATAGATTTGCACTGAACGAAACCGATCTCTCATTTGACCTTCCAGCCTGTATACAACAAGAAATGTTTGAATTTCAATTGATCGAGGGGAGATATTCCCAATACTGGCTGCAAGGGATTGTGAGGACCAAATCTAATTTCATTTGTCACCATAGGATCATAGCCGTTGAAATGCAACACCATCTCGAACAGCCATGAAGGATGCTGACTATGGCAATCGAATCTGCTTTCATGTCTAACTTCTGATGAGACAAGAAATGCCTCTTAAAAATAACCAGTTAGGCCACACGCAAAACTCATTGTATTCCATGAAATGGAAGATAACTAGTTAGGCTGAGAAGTAACTGGGAAGAGAACAAGACAATTAACAAAGAGGAGAACCAGCATCAAGAGATCGGAAATGGAGAGACCCAAGAGTGAGCTGTTCTAATTCTTTTTTCTTTATCACAAAAATGATAATACCTGCTGTGGAAAGCTCATATTTCAGGTTTTGGTTTGGTTTTTATTTATATGGGTATTAACGGTTTTGCCTTATTGGCTAAGGTTATGGACAACATCAAAAGAGCTGTAGCCATAGAGGAAAAGTCTAGGACCTTTCTTTAAAACTGATATGTATGTACTTAGTTTGCATATGACAAATTTTGTGATGATGATGATAGTATATAATATGTTTTTAAAATTTTCTGCAATTTTTTTATATTTGTTTGTCAATAAAAATTATTCTTATTTTTCACACTTATTATGGTTCATTAATATAAAGCTATGTCCAAATGTTTTCTACATAATTTATATATATATATATATTTATGTTTTTTATCTTTTTAAAATTTTATTATTTAATTATAACTTTATGAGTTGACTGATCTGAAATGTTGAATTGATATATCACCAAACAAGAAAACAATTTCACTTTTGGGTTAGTTTTGAATTTTGTATTTTATTTAATCATCAATAAAAAGTTAAAAACATTTATTGTTTATCGTGTCTAATTTTTAATATAATTAATATAAAATATTAGAGATGTGTCCAAATGTTTCCTATAGAGTTTTTATCTTTTTCATCTTTTGTATTTTTATCTTGTTTTAATGGTTTATTATTTAATTATGAAATCAATGGTTGACACATATGACATGAAATGTTGAACTGTTGATCTACCACTAGGAACACAATTTCATTTTTGGATTGGTTTTAAATTTTATATTTTATTCCCAACATCAATAAATAAACTATTATTTATCACTTATTTTTCTTTAATATGAATAATATAAAATATTAGATAGGTGCCTAAATGTTATTTATAAATTTTTTATTAACCATGGACTTAAGAGGATAGAGGCATATATATATAGATATAGGTTAGCCAAGTAGATGGCAAGAGGTCTACATCTGGATATGGCAAGATCTTCAGTAGTAGAATAAACCAACGGTTCTCCATATTCTTTCTACAGATTCTAAATCCTATTTCCTATTGATTTATTATTTCCTATTTATGTTTACAACTTACAACTTGTAAACGCCAACGCTTGAATCGTCTACCATCCTTGTCATTTTTTCCAGTGTTTAGGAAAATCAGTTAACCAATCAGACCGATTAAACTATGACCCAAGTACCAGCCAGTTCAACTGGAAAACTGGTGAACCGATTCCAATTTGTCTGGAGCCCTGGATCATTAGATAAGTTAAAATTTCAAAAAGACAATGGCAAGACTTGAACCTATGACCTTCTATTTGTGCTTTGCTTTGTTACCATTGATCCATTTCCTCATTTCTGTTTCCATTGTTTCCAAACTGAGCTTTTATGTTCCTTAGTGTATATTGCTTTAATTCACATAATCACATGTATTTTAAAGAAAATGTAAGCGAAGAGGTTAATCCCTAGTTGCCTGCTTTAAATTTTAAGGAATTAGCTTTTTTATGTATCCCATTCCAACATTGTAAGACAACACATACACAAACACACGGTTCAACCTCCAGTTTGACCATGGCTGAACCTTTTACCCTTAAAGAGCCTTCAACCAATTTCACCCAATCACCATTTACTCAGATTTGATCAATGGGTTCAATCAGGTACTGCACCACTAGCCGCTCAAAGACGTTTGCCAATGACTTGAGATTGCACTTGATCAGGGCCTCAACAAAATAGCATGTCTTATCCTTGGTGTTCCTATCAAGCACATATACGACAAAGGATTCAATCACTAAGGTTCCTGGTCTACCCTCAAACATATATACCTACGGTTGATCAAATCTCCTCACCAGAGGACCAGGCGAGATAACGGGAGACTTGTTTTGTTTAGGTTAAAAGACTTAATCATACCTTCAGTTTTCATAAATTGACTTAAATATGCCCTAGGATTTTCAAATAGACTTAAATATACCTTCTGGGTGCATTCTCAAACATTTCAAAGCATGAAATCATCAATTTCTGTTAGGTTCCTAACAGAAGGGGTCAATATATATGATTTACCCCAAATATGAAGGAGGTTTTTGCAGAGATCAAAGTTTATGGGAGGCTAAAGCAGTTGTCCAAAACAAGTCTAGAAAAAGAAGACACTAGTGGTGTTTAGCCAATATATCAAAGAGATTTACTGGATAAGCTTTTGTTTTCTGAGCCTTGGACTGTAGGAAACAAAAACGAGCCAAATCGTGTTTTGAGCATTCAGCAAGAGTAACTTTTAAAGACATAATAATCTAAAGCCAAAACACTTAAGCCCCAAAAAAGCACAAATCTGAAAGCTTATCCAAACTCAGCCTTAGTTATTCAATTAAATTATGTTTCATTGGATGGTGTTTTCAGTTGCGCATACTTTCTTTTTCTTTTTGTTTTAAAATCTGGTTGAGTGCGAACTCATAATAAATATAATATTGACCCAATATTCTAACCGGTTGGCCCCAAACCCTGAAACAAGAAACTCTCAGGTCAGCACCTTTAATTGAATCAAGATCTCTTACAGGACTGCATATCTTACAAGATGTTAAGGTCCAAATTAAGTCAAAACATGTGATCTCATTCCAAATGTATTAGTTTAGAACAAAGTTGCCTTGGTAAATTATCATATATCTTCAACATTACTTGTTAAACAACAGATTCATTATCTGGTGATATGCAGCCTGCACTCCTGCCCGAGCATTCTGCTAGTGCATGGTTAAGCAAAGAGGATTATAAACCTCTTCTATTACTGAGAACTTTTTTCAGAAGGGCTTCACGTCCAGGGAAAGGACTACGGTTCACCACCATCTTATCCTCAGCTTGATCTTTATTAGATTGAAATACGATCTTGCTATCATCATCATTCGCTCTATCTTTATCTTTTCCCCTAATTTCTGTTCTCAATTTGTTCAATTGAAGACTTCTCTTCAGTCTTTGTCTTTCTCTCCTCTCTTCCCGTCTCATTGTAACATTACTCTCCTCTTCAAAAGCCTCCCCTTCTGCAGCAAAAGAAACCCTAAAACCTTTCCTCAGAAAACCTACCTTCCTCTCCACTGCAACATCAGGAACCACAGACTGCTTATTCGGAAGTCCCAACTTTCCTTCTTGGAAATTTAGATTACTCTTCGAAGGAACACCTGTCTCTTTAGTCATTAAAAAACTAGAACTTGTTATTAGAGAACTTGATTTTTTCTCATTTTTCAGACCCAAATCCTTCCCAAAAGTGCACATTTGTTCAATCTTAGGATCCCTTGAATCTGTACTCAGAAAACTAACTTTATATTTCTTCTCCCTTTCCAATCCCAAGTCCTTTTTCAAAGGAACCCTCCCTTCAACTTGGGAAACCTGAAGTCTTGTTTTCATGGAACCACTAAGCTCTTCATCCTTTTTAATTCTATTTCTCGGTATCCGACCACCTTTTGAAGTTCCAAGAAGTTCAAAGTTGATTCTACTCCATGCAACCTTGTCTTCATTATTCCAACCAAAACTCTCACTAATTTCTAGAAGATCTGAAACAGGACTCTCTGTTCTTGAAGCCCTTGAATCATCACCATTTAGGATTTTATCTGCATATTCCCATTCTAACCTATCTCTGTAAACTGGGTCTTGTAAAACTTCATCTGCAAGCTTTGCCCATTCTTCAAAATCACGAGCTCTGAGATTTTTAGAGATCCACTTGAGGTACTTTGAAGGGAGAGTTCCCAGCATCTTCCCTTTGTATTTTCCAAAATCTATGATTCTGTCTCTTGCAGAGATTATTGCAGAGGTGGGTTTTCTTGCAGTGGATAAGGATATTGGTCTGAAAGAACAGACAATGGCTGGAAGTAAAGATGCAGAAGATGCATGTGAAAGAGAACATGGGAATACAGATAAATTCATGGATGGAGAGGAAGAGAGAGATCTGATGACCAAGGATTCTTTTACATCAACACAAATGTTGTGCCCATAAAGCTCCTGTGCTCACTCCACTGATGCTGCACCTTTTGAAGAATGTACAAGGCCTACTAAAAAGAGTCTGGCCTCTATCAATCCAGTGGAACCAGAGGTTTTGGCCCTGTGTCATCCAATGGCATCATTAACTATTTAATAATATTGAACAGTTGTGCAGGAAACAAGATATTGCAATGAATAACATGCAAATCAAGCAAAACTAACAGCGGTTTCTATGACAAAGGAACATCAAGATAAATTTTCATTGTACATGTAAGACAACACCTGGCATGTGCAGAAAACACAAGAAAGATATAAACCCCATGATTAAGGAATGCGCACCTTCAGACCCTGCTCTCTAGCATCTCAAAACAAAGCCTGCACTCAGACAAGGCTCAAGCATTCATTGATGACCAGTAATTTCAAAACATCCAAGTAGACAACTGATGTGACACCATCTAGATAATGATAAAACTCCAAATAAAATGTGACAGACATTACAGTAAAATACTCAAAAAAGAGATGTAGGACCAGCTAAATTCCGGTCCCTAGAGAATGTTGAATGGTATTCTTTGGTCAGAAAATTATGGCCATTGATGGCTAATAATAGCTTCTTGAAGGTATAAGCATGGTAATCACAGTCAAACAGTAATAAAAGGCAGCAAACCAGAAAGAAAAGAAAAGAGAAGAGATCAGAGAAGGAAGAGAAAGAGGAAGGAGAAAGGAGAAAAAAGGGCTGAGAGAAGAGAATCGAGTCAAACTGATTAGAGAGTAGATTAGATGGATCTAACCCTCTTAACCAGTCAGCTCACTACTTATATTAATGGAAATAAAGATGTGTTTACAAAAATACTCTTGTTTATGATAACTTCTAGACAGGAGTACCCTTTGTAAAGAGACTGGGCCGAATGGGTCCTAGTATCTCCTCTTGTAATATCTTTTCTTTTCTTGTTAGCTAATGGGCCTGTTATTTCTTTTTGTTTAATCTCTTTATGTTACTGCCTAGCTGGCCGCCCACTTAAGGGCATACTTGTCATTACTCCAACATTAATGCTTAATAAAAAAAAGGATTAGAGGAGAAAGGGAAGATAATTCGAATCTTCTTCTTCCTTCTCTGTTCGCCATCTTCTTCTCTTGTGCTGCTGCTCTTACTTCTCTTCTTCCTTTTTTTCTTCTAATCTTCAAATTTACACCTAATATTTGACGACAGATTTACGTCTTAGTATCAGAGCAGGTCTATTTCTTCCTTTTTTTTCTTCTTTGTCTTCCCATACACCCTTAGATTAAGAGAGTGTATGGAGAGATAGATTCTCTATAGTTCAAAGGATCTCTAGCCTAGTTGGTAGAGGATTTGGAGATTTAAATATGGTTGGATATTGCCAAGAAGCGGTGCTGTTCTGTTGCTGCCCAAAACCCTAGCCGATTAGAGATTTTTGAAGGTACAGGTAAAGGTGAAGCTTTGGGTGTGGCGTCTATGCTTGGGAGGTGTCTTGTGACTACTAAAGGAGGGCAGTTCAGGATTGGAAGAGATTGGGAAGTTCTGGTGGAGCAGTTGCATCTTCTCTCTTCCTCCCCAATAGCTGAACAGAGTAAAACCCTAGTTTTCAAGTATCTGAGTTCTAGTTTGACTTCAAGTAAGTTTATATAGACAAGAATCTGGTTCTTTGATTTTCGTTTGATTAATGGTGCCATACAGAAGTGAGTTCAAGCAAGTGCTGGTTTCCGGCCTTGGCTCGGTAGATTCTGTTTTGACTGGTGTGACCACAATCAAGCTAGATGGGACAAATTATATTGCTTCGGCACAATCTATAAGAATTTATGTCTGTAGTAGAGGAAAACTCGGGTATCTCACAGGTAGTAAAGTGAAACCCGAAGAGATAGACCTTGAATTTGAGAAATGGATGCAAGAAAACTATACTGTCATAGGATGGTTGGTCAATTCTATGCAACCTCATATAAGTCAAAATTATCTCTGAATGTCTTCGACTAAGGAGATATGGGACAGTGTTCTTGAGACCTATTCACAAAAGTTGAATGTAACCAGAGTCTATAAGTTGAAAAATGATGTGAAGAACCTAAGACAGGGGGAGAAGAGTGTAGCAATCTACTACTCTATACTGAAATCCCTATGGAAAAAAATTGATGTTATGGAGATAGTTGTATGGGAGAGTAAGAATGATGCTAAAATGTATAGGAAGTTGGTGGAGAGAAATAGGGTGTTTGAATTTCTCACTGAACTCAACCCTGAGTTTGACATCCTTAGGCAAAATATCCTGGCCAGACATGAGGTTACTCTTACCCAGGCATATGCTATGATAAGCAGTGAGGAGAGTAGGCGGCAGGTTCAATTGCAGGGTCCACCTACAGAACACTTTGCACATGCTAGAATAAAGCCAAAGGGTCCTACTGAGAAAAAGGAGCAGATATGTGAATATTGCAAGAAACCGAGGCATACAAAGGACACTTGTTGGAAGCTTCACCCTGAGCTTCTTCCTGATAGGTTTAAGAATAACAACAACTCTAAGAAGGGCAATTAGGTAGGAAAGCCTAAGACAGCTAATGTTGCTACATTACCTGAAGGAGGAAATAAGGAGAGTGAAGAAAAATCAACCATTGAGCAGTTGGCAGCAATGAAGGCGGATTTTGAAAAGTATGGGAGGCTACTAAATCACTTGGCAGCAACAACACATCATCTTCATTTGCATTTGCTCACTCAGGTATTCGTGCTTCTGCAAATCATGCTTCAGTTTCAGGTAATCATAAAATCCCTTGGATTATTRATTCCGGTGCATCAGACCATATGACCAGCCTGTCTAATCTCTTCTGCTCATACCACCTTCTCTTTGGCAAAGAGAAAATATCCCTTGCTAATGGGTCTATTGCTCCCACCTCTGGTAAAGGAGATATAAAGACCTCTGACACCCTTTATTTATCCTCTGTCATTCATGTCCCTAAACTTAACACAAACCTTTTATTTGTTAGCAACTTAACTAAATCTATGAATTGCAGCATAACCTTTTTTCCCACTCATTGTGTTTTTCAGGACCTGCAATCTCAGAGGATGATTGGGAGTGGCCATAAGGCGAATGGAATATACTTGTTGGACACACCGGATCGAGCCTTGGAACCACCTCATGGAGTTGCCTTAGAGTCAGTTTTGTCAGTCTGTTAAAAAAGTCTTGTTATGTCACTTTCGATTTGGTCATTTGTCATTTTTTGCTTTGAGTCATTTGTTTCCAGATATGTTTAAGGGAGTGCCTTTATCGAGTCTTCATTGTGAGTCGTCTGAACTGGCAAAACATTGTAAACATTCTTATTCAGTAAGCAATAAAAGATCTCTTTCCTTTTCATATTGTTCACTTTGACGTGTGGGGGCCATATCATTTGCCAACTATGGGGGGTTA